CTTCTGCAGAGAAGATGCTATACTAATTTAACTCAGGAGTTACTAACAGTGAATGCAGCTGGACTGGTTGATCCCAGTTTGACAAACACAGGTGCCATTAGATAAGGTAAGTCACTGGGGTATTTAGGAGATTTGATTAATTTTAGTAAAATATTTTCGGAGCTAGAATGTGTCAGGGACTATGAAAAATGCAAGTTTTTTGCACTTGAATGGAATATATAAATAAAATAAATTACTATACTGTTATTTTATTTTTTAAAAAAATATAGGTTAATGGTCTGTGCAGTTATTGCAGTATGCGTCAAGAAATGTTTTGAATATCCATTGATGTAGCCAGGACAGAAACACATATATGAATAAGAAAAGTGGTCTTGTGTTCTCCATATTCTAGGGGCTCCCGGGACACCCCTAGAATAGACTGCCCACAGCAATTCCTAGGTAAGCCAGAAGTTTGAAATGAGTTCAATATTTTGGAATTAAGTTCTAGGAAGAGGCAGAAAATTGGAAAGGTCATGCTTTTCCATGTTAATCAGTTGGCGCCATAAACATTTTTTCATATATGTTTTTGTCTTTAAAAAAATCTCAAGTGTTTCATCAGCAATTTCTTGGAGGTGTAAGGGGAGAGATGACTATGATTGTGAAGCTGAGTTTTGTGAAACATCAGAGTGGCTAAGAAAGGGTAGGAACCAATCCCAGAATCTCACACAGTCACCTGGTAACCCTCAGCCCAAGAATCCTGTAACCATTGTTGCTCTCCCAGGGAAAAGAGGTCATGTGAAGAGCAAACAAAACTATATCAAGAATAAGAGTACAGATAGCATCCCAAACACAGTCCTTGAGATTCACGTAGAAGCAAAGGAAGCGGCTGGTGTCCAAGTGTCCAGAATCCCATGAGGAGAAACTTTCAATCCTTGAAGCCACCCTGTAACATCTGCCAACATGGGTGAAGGCTTCTGTGGACCTGTGTGCTTGTGGTTGACGAGGATTCCAGTGATCCCTCTAGGGTTAGAGGTAGCTTAAAAGAGAGGACTGGCTGAATTTGGTGGCTCAGCCTGTAATCCCAGCAGTTTGGGAAGCTGAGGCGAGTAGATTGCCTGAGCCCATGGGTTCGAGACCAGCCCGCGCAAATTGGCAAGACCTCATCTCTACAATAAATCAAAAATTAACCAGGTGTGGTAGCGCGCACCTGTAATTCTGGCTACCTCGAAGGCTGAGGCAGAAGGATCACGGGAGCACAGTTGACACTGGGATGGCCGTGAGTGTGCCACTGTACTCCAGCCTGGGTAACAGAGTGAGACTCCAACTCAAAAAATAAAAATAAAAAAAAAAAAAGAGAGAAGACTGAGCCACACACATGGAAGGAAAGCCCTTCACTACATCTCACCATCCTCTGTCCCTATTTAAGTATTTACCAACTCCCTTTAAGTTTTTCTCTTTTTGGCCTATAACAAATGAACTTTGTGATTCTGGGCAGTATTTCAACTTTGGGACTCCATTTTCTCATCAGTTTTATACAAAGCAGTATTTTAACAAACAGTAATCGAAGACAGACTATGAAGGAAAAATGAGGAAACCAGTATAACTGTCCTCATTGTGCCCAGTGTCCAGTAAGCGAGGCAGACACCTTTGTCAGTGTCACATCTAACATTATACACTTGGAACTCTCACTACAAGCAAGTGTGAGGTGGATTGTAGTTTAGTTATTTCCAGTTTTTCCTCTATTCATCAAATAGAGGGGAGTACCCAGAAAGGGCCAACCCCTGTGCTAAGTGCCGAGGAGCTAACAGTGAGGAGCATAAACACAGTCTTTTATGTTCTGGAGCACCAGCCAACAGGAAAAAAATATAAGCCAGGCAAATACAGACTAGTGTGAGCGTCCTAAGACTGCAAAGCCTATGCTGGGATCCCAGACAAGGACAGGCACAAAGGCTGACCTTAGGCTGTAGCCACACTTAACGCAGAGTTCACCTGAGAGTGTTCATCTTCACCATTGTCTAGAAGACTTAATTATTCCTTGGTTGTGCATAGCTCATCAAGTCTGCTAGCAGGACTTCTTTTGTGGTAGATAGGTAAATGTATTTGGACCTTTTACTGATTTTGTACATATTTTTAACAGGGTTTGAGACAAAATAGCTCCACAAACGATGGCATTGTTAAATAACTAGGAATTTACCATCCACAGGAATTGATGGTCAGAGAAGTCAGTCAGCTGTGTAGATGTGTATAGATCACCGGCGACTGGGAGGTAGAGGATATGGTGATGGAGTGTATTTCTCATGTTCACCCTTTACTGGAAGTCCTCTTGACAATGGAGGTACTCCCATTTTCCCGGACGCAGAGTTTCCAATTTCTGTTGTAGATTATAATGAATGAGAAGGGTTCTTAACATGAGACTAATTTGATGAAAAAGAAAATTCCAGTGAATGAGACTCCTACATTCATCAATGGCCTCCAAAAAGTATTTCTGAAAACCCAAACATATCAGAGAACCATTGCGTGGACATATGGAGCCACTTCTGACTTCTTTCAGAATGGCCAAGTAATCAACATTTCTTTTGGGTTTGAATTCCTTCTCTTGGTTTAAACAGAAAATGTGAAGGGGAGAATGTTTGTGTGCTGCTAAGTGGGACAGGACAAGAGTGTTTTGTGAGAATGGTAGTTCTCTGAATGGCAGCAAAGAAACATTCTTGAGCAGGGCTTTAAATCCCTCTTCTGAAAAGAGTGAAGTTATGGTCTAAAAACACAAGTGGAGTTGTATAAAATGAAGGATTTTTCCCCCTCACTGACTGTGTAATTCTATGAGGAAGGTCTTCAGGATCAAATGTGAATACATTAATAACTTAAGGAAGAAGGACTGATTTGGAGGTTAAGTTGGAATGCTGACCTGCCTTTTGATTATTGTTACAAAGCATAAGTGGAGAAAAGTATACTTATATAATTGTTTTCCTTTGTAATCCCATGTGACTTAGTAAATACATTTAAATTTATAGTTCTGAGAAGGATTTCATAGGCCTCACCATATTGCCAAAGGTGTGCATAGAATAAGGAGCCAATTTCCACCAAGAATACTTAAATTACAAAAAAGTCCCCAGTTAGAAACACATGCATTTCTCCAATTCTCTGAGGCTTTGCAGTTGAGGAGTTGAAATCATTTTGGACATAGAAATGAGGAATATAAATTAGAGATATGCGTTCTTTAGTGTGCTAATGGCATCACAACATCCATCCTCCCCCAGGACTCCTCTTGATCTTTGGTGCATTTTCCAGAGTCCTGTAAGTTGGTTAACATGGGAGTTTTTAGAATCATGGACAATTTGACAACTCTTTTTTGTTTTTGTGAAGTTGTCAGACTATTTATTGGAGATGATTTTATAGAAATGATTGCAATGGAAACTAACAGGTATTATGATCAGATGTACCATAGATATAAATGTCTAAATAAATAAAAAAATTGGGGCAATACTACATTGTCCAAGATGAAAAAATCTCTAGCATTAAATATTTTGACAGGACAAGTGAAGAAAACCACAATACGTGATTATTAGTCAATACGTCCATCAATGCGACACCATTCTTCTAAAAAATAATGACATGAAGTAGATCCTACAAATGTTTCAGTTTTTATAGTTTTCCAATAATACAGAAATGAAGTTAAATTCAAGCAGATTATGCAAAATTGAACCCGTAGTAAATTATGTTTTAAATAAGTTCAACACAGTGTGCAAACGTGAACAAGAACTTTCTTTGGATGAATCCATGATACCTCATCGTGGAAGACTGTCTTTTCAGGTTTATAATTTGAATAAAAATACAAAGCACAGAATGCTTGTCAGAGTGGTGTTTGAGGCAAATACTGGGTATGTCTGCAACTTTCAGCTGTATTGTGAAAAGGGTGACAATTTGGAAAAGACCATTTCACTTGTGCTTAACAACAGATGTTTACTGCAACCAGCTTCAGATTTTTTTTTTTAAATTTTCACCTGCTCTCAGTATTAGGAAAGTGAAAAATTTTCCAGTTGCGAATGTGTTAAGACAAATGTTTAATTTTATATTTATATCTGTGTGTATAAATGTGAAGCTCTTGTTTTAGCTAAGCAATTTAAATGCCTAGTTGATTTTGTAATAATACCCAAACTATAAAGTCATGTATGGAATGTAGCACGCATGTTCAAATACCTTAAATTTCACTAAAGTCTTGAGAAATAACTATGTTCATAAATTAGCAAAAGTTAAATAACCAACATATTTAGTTTCTTTGTATAGCTATAAAAGTAATATACATCACTTGGTATGATCAATATTACTAGAACATAAGCTCTGAAAATGAATTTTTTTATCCCTGTAGACCATAAGCACCTACATCTATGTTTTGCAAAGGAAAAAACTTAATAAATGAATGAGAGAATAAACTTGATAATCATTGCATGTCTTAAAAAATAAAAGCTAGAAGTGAGTTGTGGAATATGTAAAAATGTCAAACAAAAGAATATACTTATTAGTGGGAATATGATTGCATAAGAATATCTAACCAATAACCCAAATAACTTAAACCTATCTTTGAAACTTTTTTCTATTGTGAAAAACAATTACTTAACTTATAACAAAGCAACTCTCAGTTACCATTAATGTTTAATAATGTTAAATTATTTTTGTATATTTACTTCAAATTCTTAATATCAAATGAAATAGGACTTCACAGAAAATTACGATGAGATGAAAGTGAATGCACAGTATACTTGCTAACATATGCAGAATTCATTTTAGAGTCTGCTTTTCGTAGGCGAATGGCCACAGTCAACAATTTCATAGTAAACTTTTTATTAAAACTGAGTCTTCACAACATATTTAAAATATCATGTTACACAGTCAAATGTTTAAGAAAAAAATTCTAGATTGCAATTGTTGGCACAGAAATTTAAGAATAATTATAATTAAGCTAAATATCTCAGTATCTATATAGATACGTATCTATACAGATGGACACATAGACCTCAAAATTCATGTCAATGACCTGGAATTCCTGAGTTTTCAAGTTGTTGGTTTTCCAGATTGTACAAAACATTTTTCATCCACTTTACAAAGGACATGGCAGATTCACAAATAATAGCTTTGGTTGATAGAGGCTGTCTTCCAAAGGGCAGACAAAAGTCCTCGGTGGGATTAAGATTTGTCTTCAGAAGCTTCTTCCAAGTGAAGGTCAGTCTGAGAGGTAAGGAATGACTCCCACATGGCAAGGCCCTGTTCATAATAGTAGATGTTCTCCTCAGCCATGTCCACGAATGCTGACTTGAGATCATTTTGCATGCTCTGAATCTATCTTTCCCAGTCAGCCTTCAGGGCATTATTGGCACATTCCACTTTATCTTCCAGCTTCCCAGTCTCTTCCGTAAGCAGATCAGTATCTGCCTTTTTATAGGTCAAAGCTTCAACTTTGGAATCCAGTTCTGCCTGTATTTGGTCTCTTCTTTTCATAAATCCCATCAGCATCTCACTGTACAGCACATACTCATGCACGACAGGAAGCAGGGCCTCTGAGAGTCCAGACATCCGCTTCTCTGTGGCCTTACAGCACTTGTCAATGCAGCTGACAACACCTTTCAGAGCATCAGCCAGATCCTCTTCAGACGCCGACCACAGAATATGAATTGGGCCATATTCTTTCATTTCATCAAAATATTCCCTTTCTTCCTTGTAAATTCTCTGAGATATTTTATTTATCAAGTTTATTTTCTGGCTAAATATTTCGATAAAGTCATTCATCTCCATGAACTCCTCCTGGCGGTTTTTAACTCCTCTCATGGAGGATGCCACTGCTCTGACTGTCTGGCCCATCTGCTCAGTAGTCCAGGCCCTTGCTTCTTATGAGAAGAGAGTTCTGGGATAATCAGAGTTGGGCGAGCTTCTTCCAGTCTTCCCTTCAACCAGAGGAAATCTTGATAACGTCTCCTAACTTCAAATTCACTGGAGTCAAATTCCCCACGAGATGTTTTCGTGATGATCCTGTAAGTGATGAAGGTCTCTACTGTAGTCACATGACTTTCAGGTTCATCAACGGTGATGAAGAGATCCTTTAAGTCTGGCTCATCTTCAAACTTGACTTGGTTTATCATAGACAGAGGAAATGTCGGCATCGCAGGGCTGAAGGAGTTCATGTCCATTAGTGAGGCATCCTTGCTGAACACCTCCAGGTCGTCCTCGTCCCCATCCAGGTCTAGCAGGTCGGCCTGCAGCAGGGCGGGGGAGCTGCGGCCCCCCGGCCGGGAGCTCCGCGGAGCACACCAGGTGCTGGCCCTCCATCTGACACCTCTTAATCTTCCTTTTATTTAAAAGAAGTTGAGGCAGCAAATAGGACCTAAGCCATTCTTGGTCATCACATGGGAGATTTAAAGAAGTGTAGACCCCTAGACCTGTCAAGGGCAATCGAGAGCAGTCAATGTGTGTTTCTCACTGTTCAGAGGAGTGGACTTAGTGAAGCTGGTCAGTGTCTTACCCAAGGCCTAACACATTAGAGGTAGAGTGGTAGAGTAGGAACCAGAATCCAGAAATCCTGAATTTTAGGCCAGAGTGCTGTGTGCTGCGGTGAACTAGAGTTAGTCTAGTCAATAGGAAAACGAGTCCAGAGGCTCTGTCAGAGGGGGCAATTGATTCTGATGCTCCCTTGCTCTGGTGGACTCTGAAGACCTTTGGGTTTCAGAATACAGCTCCATGACAGGGAGACAGGAATGAAGGAGAGGAACGGAGTGTAAAGAGATGGTGTGTGTGTGTGTTTGTCTCTCTGTCTCTGTCTCTCTCTCTCTCTCTGTGTGTGTGTGAGAGAGAGAGAGAGAGAGAGGAGGGGAGAGAGAGAGAGAGGGAGAGAGAGAGGAGAGAGAGAGAGAGAGAGAGAGAGAGAGAGAGAGAGAGAGAGA